TGGGAGTTGAAGTCCACAAGTCTTAAAGTGGCCAAAGTTGGACACCCCTGGCTTAGGATATTCAAAGCTGTAATTACCCTAACAACTCTCACTTGTGCCTGTGGCCTAAACACAGGCAATGCTCCAATAAAGGTACATCTGCACAAGTGCAGATAGTGCCCTCTACTGGAAAAGAATGTTCTCCTTTTCCTGTTCATTCCAGCACACAATGGAACGCTCAGTTTGTGGGTCTCCCAGAAGCACCTGGCTCACCACTTTCATTAGTAAGATGTTAGCTTATTGAGCAGGTTTCTTGTAATTGATTTTTTTTTAAGATTACTGAGAATTCTATCTCTTATTAAACTCAAAAGCTGAGTTGATTGTAACCCATTTCAACTGCTGATTTAATATGGTAAAGAAAACAACTCATGCCACAAAACCTACTGTGCAGGAAAGTACTCACGGCTGTATCCAAAGAGAGATCCAATAGCCAAGATGAGGCTAATTGCTAATACAGGAGCTCTTCTTTGCAGCACATCAGAGATAAAACCTTGGATGGTACCACCTGTAGAAATAAAAGGAATAAAGACTTATCACAACAGATCATAATCATTATAAGAAAAAATGCACAACAAGAATCGGCATTTATTACTTTACTATTTTTACAATGTTGGAAGCTATCCAAAATCATTGGATAGTGAGATGGGAAGCATATAAATTTAACTGATTAATTTTTAAAAAAGCACAATTGGCTACAAATTTAGCTGTCTGTCTTTCATACATTGTGTTAACTGGAAGATTCTCCAGCCACTATTCTAAACCATCTTTTTCCCATTTTGGTTTTCTCCAAAGTGAGACTTAAACTTTCCAGATAGCCCAGACAAGCAACACTAATGCTAAGAATTCTGGGAGTTGGAGATGGGGCAGTGCCCAAGTGTGTTGGGAAGCTGCTGTAGGCAATTAGATTGCTATAGTGCCAGTTTAGTGTAGTGGTTAAGGTGTGACCTAGAAACCAGGAAACGTAGGCATGAAAGTACACTGGAGGATGTTGGGCCAATCACTAGGAGACTGTGAGTTCTAGTCCCACCTTAGGCATGAAAACCAGCCAGGCGGTTTTGGGCTAGTCACTTTCTCTCAGTCCATCTACCTTATAAGATTGTTATTATGAGGTGTGAGGAAGAAGTATTATGTAAGCTCAATGCTTTGAGTGTTTTTCTTTTTGTGTGTGTTGAATTTATATTTTACTGACAAAGAAATAAATGGAGACTAGTATAGTTCTATTTCAAGCTATTTAGCTCTCATCAGCTAGCCATACCCTTTCTGGGATTCGAACCCTGGGTACTTGCATATTAAGTAGATGTATTAACCTCTAAGCCACGGGCTCTCCTCACTTTGTCAGCTGTACCAGGAGAGAGATTAAGTGTTTTTTTCTGGTGGGACCAGTCTATCGGGGCAACCTGGTTTACCCAAATATGGGACGGAGCATACTGCTTCCACTTCACTGTTTTGAGTTACTTATAAAATAATGAAGACAGGATAAATTCTAATAAATACATACATTTGACATCCTGCAGATCCTTTGGCCTATTACATCCATCATCACTTTGCATGTCAGTCACTAATTGGTAGACAAGTGGTGTCTACTTAGTTTTAAACTAGCATTCTCACCCACACCCAGCCACATCCTGTTCTAATCCCACAATGAACAGAAAATGAAACATAACAACAAAAAGAATTTGTCTTTTGCTCCATAGCCATACCTATAATGCCTCCAACATCATACCAGATTGAGAGCTGGTCGGCTTCTGCCTCCTTCCAACCAAAATTGTTGCTGAGGTAGAAGGGCAGCCAGAAGAAGAAGGAGTAATTCACTAGCTTCAGGCAAGCATAGGCCAAGGAATACTGAAACAAATAAATACCATCCCAAAAGAAAAGCTATTAGAATCAAAACAATCCTAGCTGAGTCAGCATGGCTTGGTAATTCTATAATGCATAGAGCAGGGATGTTCAGTCTTGGCAACTTTAAGGCTTGTGGATTTCAACTCCCAGAATTCCCCCAGCCAGCAGATATACCTTTATTAAAGCTGTAGGATGGGCACAAGTAAGAGTAATAGTATTGCTACTGTTAAGTTGTTAGGGTAATTATGACGTATCATAAGCTTTAGTTGAAATTTCTTGCTTCTGTCATTTCTAGAATTCAGCTTCTGGAAGTGGCCGTCTTGATTTGGATTTCTTAAAAGTTGACAAGGTTGGCCAACTTAAAAGGGAATCAGGTTCAGATTTTTCTATTCAAGAGCTGACACTCTACGTCAGGGACGCCTGGCATAGACTATCAGATCTTGAATAGAAGAATCTGAATCTGATCCATTAGAAAACATGTTGGATGAACTGGAGATCAGTTATTGCCTGTCAAATGCACCAGTATGAGAGGAAAAAATGGGAAGCACTGCCCGGCTTTCTTAAAAATGCAAAATGATGCTGTCTCTTCTTGTTCTGACCCTACGCAGCATTATTTAATATTGACTAGGTCAGTCAATCTCAGCAACTTTAAGATAGGTGGACAATTCCCCAGATTTCTGGCTGGGGAATTCTGGGAGTTAGAGACCCACACATCTTAAAATTGCCAAGATTGAGAAATATTGGAATAAGCAAACGTTAGGGGCAGATGAACACTTTTGGAAGTGTAACATTATGTAATGGAATTCTCAAGGGTAATGTGCACACAGCCAGTCACAAACCACACACTGATAAGGAAGCAAACTTAATTAGGCTGCTCCTCACCACCCCAAGATGTTGTCTATCACTTCACTTACTTCTGTCCTTCCTTTTTTTTTTGGGGGGGGGGGGGGGGGGGGGGGGGATTGCAGGTTGGCAGATTGCTAAGCTAAGAATTGGGCTGAAGCTGTCCATTGTTCCTTTACTTCGATTTCCTCTTACCCCATGTGAGCTCTAAAGATATTCCTAGAAATAAATTGATGCTTTGCAGCATGCCAGCTTCTGTTTTTATTTAAGTAAAACTTTCTTGATTAAAAATACCGGAGGATAAAAGGATATTGGGAGGGGAGAACCAAGACAGTGTCCTTAAAAATACTTGTGCCTATAGATCTCATGCGACCTTGTTTCTTAGTGCAAAAAATATATCACTGTAAGGGGATGATAACAACAACCTTACCAATAAGACGCCAGGCAGACAACATGCCTGAAAAAATCCAATGGCCTGGGATGGAGCATTTGCACTGCTTAGGTTGGATGCCTGAATAGTGTAATTCTGTTCGTCAAAATCTTCATTCTCATGGCTGCTAATTAATGGCTCAGTGGCATCTTCTTCAGCAGTTTCACCCTTCCCTTCTTTGCCAATTTCAGGGAGGCCTAGGAGAAATCACAAAAAGACAACTTAAAAAGAGCAAAGGAAGGGAAAAAACCCCTCGGCTCATGCCTGCTCTTTTGAGCGCTTGTTCCTCCCTTCTGAATCGGCTCCCTTGCTCCCTCCTGCTCTTCCCCTTTGGCTTAGAAATGCTTCTACTCTTGGAGGTATTATGACCAAAACTTAAGGAAGTTGCTGTGAAGAACTCAGGTGTAATAAAATGTGAATCCACTTTGAAGTAATCTACCAGGCCACAACACTCCCATTAAAAGTTAATTCTGTACTGTGAGTCATCAGCCTGGTTTCAGATGCAGCATTGCAGACATTTTGTCAAGTGAAATATTGGTACCGTTTTATTACTGCCATATTATTGTTGTTGCCTTTTTAATTATGAAGTTCAGAAATGTCGTTCTTTCGTAGGTGCACACCATTTTGTTTGTCTGTTGACCAATTTAGACTTGTGATAAAGGCAGGATATACAGTACAGATAATCCTTGACTTATGACCACAATTGAGCCCAAAATTTATGTGGTCAAGCAACACATAAATTTTGCCCTGTTTTATGACCTTTCTTGCCTTGGTTGTTAAGTGAATCATTGTCATTTATAAGTTAGTAACCCAGTTGTTAAGTGAATCTGGCTTCCCCATTGACTTTGCTTGTCAGAAGGTCGCAAAAGGTGATCACATGACCCTGGGACACTGCAATGGTCATAAGTATGAACCAGTTGCCAAGCGTCTGAATTTTGATCACATGATTATGGGAGGCTGCAAAGGTCGTAACTTTGAAAAACGGTCATAAGTCACATTTTTTTCAGTGCCGCTGTACCTTTGAACGATCACCAACTGTTTTAAATCGAGGACTACTTGTTAATGTTTAAAGTTGGGAAAAAAATCTTACCCCTAATGCCAGCATCTAATGAGGTTTTCAATATTTAATATGGATTTTGAGTGGTGTACGAAGTCAAAAATTAACTATGCACCACTTGCAATTTGGGATTGCAAGCAGCAAAGACAAAACAAGTGAAAGGGTGCTTCTACTTACCTATCTCTTTGGGAGAAATCACAAGGCCAAAAAAGACAATAACTCCTCCAGCAAACTGTACTGATGCAGTCACCAAGAAGGCATACTGAAAGGGGGAAAAAAAACCCAATGAAGCTATTTTATGGGTGTCTCTTGGATTTTCTCATCTTAAGTCTAGCAATTAATCCTCCCGGTATTTCATTTTTGCTTGTATATAAAGTCCCAACATATTTTATTGGAAGACACAGAGAAACGCTAATAAGTTCAATAAATAAAAACACACAATTCATGCTCAAATATCCCTGGCTCCAATCCAAGTAGGATAATGGCAGGAAGCCTCACCCACCTCATAGCCATACTGCAGAACCGATGAGGCAAGAAACGCTCCAAGGATATTACCCACTGATGCACAGGCACTCCAGAGTCCAAAAACAAATCCTCTCCTGAATGTGAAATTTTTAAAAAAAATATAAGTTGGGTAATAACTCGGAGTCAAGCAAAAAAAAAAAAAAAATCTAAAGCAGTTAGTCCCTTTTAACAATTTGAACAAGGCAGTTAAAAGACGAATGGAAATAGATGAAAGCATTTTGTATTGACTCGTCAAAAAAACATTTTAAAATTCACTTCCCTCAAACAACACTGCATGCACGAGTTCAGTTTTACAAGTTAATTTATTAGGACTTTCACAACATTGCTACTATAAAGGAGCCAGGGTGGTGCAGTGGTTAGAATGCAATATTGCAGGCTAATTCTGCTGACTGACAATTGCCAGCAGTTCGAGTCTCACCAGCTCAAGGTTGACTCAGCCTTCCATCTTTCCGACATCAGTAAAATAAGGACCCAGATTGTTGGGGGCAATATGTTGGCTCTGTAAACTGCTTAGAACGGGCCGTAAAGAACTGTGAAGCGGTATATAAGTCTAAGTGCTATGGCTATTGCTGTAAAAAGTTACACCATAAACAGTGAAGAACTTTCTAATGGAAAGCTTCTGATACCAAGCACCTCAAAGTACTCTGGGCAGGATGGTACAGCAAGTATGTTATCATGCTGTGCATGTCTTGTCTGTTTGAGCATACACACTTTTCAGACCCAGAAAAGGACAACTGAAAATAATGGATTTAAGAATTACAGAAGAATAAGAAGCCATCGTTTAGATTAAAAAAAAACTTTGAATAACTGAAATGCATTTATTTGATTTAAAAAGCAAATATGTAAAATAACATATGCTGTATGAAAAAAGAAAGTTCTACCCAAAAATTAAAAGACGTAACATAACCTGAGGATGATGCACAGCATGTAGCTAGATCTTAATGTACAGAGATAGTCTATGCATGACAAGAATATACAGATACGTTTTTCTGATCACTCATGATCCTAGAGGTAAGCGATTAAGAAAAGAAGAAGAGATACGAGACACAGTGGCTTTGAAGCCATAGATAGCACCCTGCATTTAGTTGCTCTTCAGGTAGCTATTTCTAAACATTCTGGAACAGCAGGCTCTACGAGTGGTTGCTCATGCTCCTGTTCTCTCCCAGTCACATTCACATTCACCCATCCAGATCATCCAGAAACTTCAACTAGAATAGCAGTTCTCATGTTCAATGGCCAGCTTTGGTACTGCCAAGTTGTATCACTTCTGCGCGAGGTGCTTGAGTGTTTCTGAATGCAATTCAAGATGCTGGCTGATACTTTTAAAATCTGAAATGGTTCCAAGCCTGAGCATCGAAGATACCACCTTTCTCATATGGATTCCTTCCAATCAGCCCAGGTGGCCAGAGGGGCCTTATCTAACAGAGGCCGAGGAGAGTGGGCTCAACAGTTAACCTTCTCAACAGCAGTTCCTCTCCTAAGGAATAGCTTGTCCCCTGACATAAGGATAGTTCTTACACATATTCATAGAGATATTTTCTTGCGTATTTATCACATTAGCATGCAAGACATACTTCTGTTGTAATCCTTTATATTCTTAATAGTATGCTATCTGTTGCTGCTATCATAACATCTATAAACCTAGAGTCCGTGAGACAGTAATAAACCCTATACTTAAATAATCGAACACTACCAGCCAAATCCTTGTTAAATATTACTGCTTCTTTTCTAAAAGGACAACCAGCCTTTGTCCTTATAAATAAGATAAAGTAAAATTTCACATTTTCATCTTGGCAGGAATGCAGCTCAACCAACTATGATCAATCACATGGCCAGGACTAGTGTGTTCAGTAAACAAAACAATGTGGACACACAGGCAACACATGTTTAACAGGAACATTGCACAATAACCACACAGAGGAGAGGAAAGCCGCTAAAAAAACATGTGCAAGGGAGAGAAATTTTTTTTTGCATACCCAGCTTTGCCAAACCAGTTTCCCATGACAGCTACCACACAGGGCCAGCCCGTGGACTGCAGCAAGCCATTCACAATCCACAGGCAGCAGTAGAACCACTTGTTGTAGAAATGCAGCCATTCGGTGACAGTGCCAAACACAAACACCTAAAAAACAACAACAAGAAGAAAATGTAGTGTTGATCCCGAATTAGTCTGGCAAATAAATCCGTAATGCTTTCTAGCCATGCTCTATATTATTTATAGGCTACAAGTTAAGATCTATCTGGGTACCTTGAAATTATTTTAACTCATTACAGGAAATAGCTATTCACAATTCTGGGGATAGCAACCAAATGCGTTCTGAGAATGTAAGGCAGAAGGGAAAATCATCCATAATTCAAATAAGGCCTGGCTTAAAAGAAAGAAGGAATTTCACTCACATGGTACTCGTTAATAACTTAGGCATTTAAAAACAACATCTCTAATTACTACAGCAAGAAAACGTATTTTAGTAATTTTTTCCTATGTCTGTTACCAAACAGAAAACTGCATTTGTCCAAGCACAAGCTTCAGTGTACAGAACTTGCACATTATTAATTTTAAAAAAATTAAAATTACCCCACACAATAACAACTATAATTTGCAATAAAATGGATTCAACAAGAAGTATCCTAGTCCATTTCCTGTTTTTGCTCTGAAAAATATTTTAACAAGCTGAAATCTCAAGAATATTTTATCAAATGAATGAATCATTCGGCTATGAAATGCAATCTCCAGCACTAATACATCAAAATGTTCGGTCCATGGATTCTTTTATAAAGCTGAAGATCCTACTGAGTTTCTTGAATGTAATATCTTCATTTACTTAGAAGTGATTTCTGAGGAAACTGTTACAGATATTCAAAGTCAAACATTACCCAGGACAGCATACTTTCCCAACTTTAATTTTCCAACTTACCACTAAGGCAGAGGAGCACATCCCAAATGCCAGAACCCAGCGCATGTTCAAACGATCCCCAATAATACCACTAACAAACAGGCCCTAAAATAATAATAATAAAAATTGTTATTCAGTAAGAATCAGCTGAAGAAAGTTGTGATAGTCAATAAAACTATTATTCTTTTTAAGGTCATATTTGTCATAAAGTTGTACAATTCAGATGAGGCTGATTTCAAGCCCTGTAAAATTAATAACTAAACTATGCAATATCTTGCCTTCCATTGAGCCAGTGTCAGAATGCAGTATTGCAGGCTACTTCTGCTGACTGCCGGCTGACTGCAGTTTTGCAGTTCGATTCTGAAGTTGACTCAGCTTTCCATCCTTCCAGGGTTGGTAAAATGAGGATCCAGATTGTTGGGGGGGGGGGGGGGGGCAATATGCACTCTGTAAACCACTTAGAAGCACTGTGAAGTGGTATACAAGTCTAAGTGCTATTGCTATTGGAACAACACAGATCCTGTCATCTCTGACAGAAGGATGCTAAAATCTGAGAAAAATAGCAGCAGGGAAAAAAATGCTGAAGGAACAATTTTTCACATTTCATGTGTTCTGAGAACATGATCACCAGCACAAAAAAATGGAAAATACCTCATAACTGTAAAATGTTTGGCAGCCGGGGGGGAAGGGGGGGGAGATGAGGCAATATATGATTTTGCCCGCTTGAAAGATGCGTTAAGATTTTTATATAAGATAATGAGAGAACTCAAAAATTACTGTTCCTGTAGATTACCATAGATTTTTCAAAACGGATTACCTATCCAAAATAGGAGTCTGTCCTCCTGGCGGCAAATGGTGGAGTCGTAACCAATTTGGAATATGGTTAAGTTGTTGGATTGAACAAGTGAAACAACTTCAAATCCATGTTCTGTTGTGAAAACTCACTGGGATTGTTATTGTGGGAACAATAGGAGGAAAGAGCACTGGGTATGCTTCCTGAATAAAAAGTGGGATATAAACTAGCAAATAAATAAGCTCATCTAGAAGGAATGGATCAGGAAAGGCTGCTGCAGGCAGCCTAGAGATTGCTGCTCTCTTTTCATGTCTGTTTTTTTTTTTAGCACAGCATAAGAAATCAATACTGTACCATTTTGTTATACTCAAAGACTATGCAATATTAACTAGATTTTGGCTGGATTCACATATGGTAGTATGCTATAAAATGGTTTCTTTGGCTCTGGTATATTGTGTGATGGAAACCTAACAACTGCGCAAGCCTTGTTTTGTAGTTCAATGTGTTACACAAAGCTAATCCGTTGCAGTTTATTGAGCAAACTATGATGAAACAACCTGGGGGTTGACACCATGAGCTAATAAGAAACAATAAATACAGCAGGATCCAATCTGGGTCGGTCAGGGAACTTCTCTCTCACCATAATGTGAGAGAGAAATTCTCTGAGCATGGGATCCAGCACGAGTCCAAAAGCTCAGAATACTAAACCTCTGGTCCCAGTGACTGACCCGAACCGGAGCCTGCAACATTATCTTGGGACAACTTATTTGCCTTCTTTTGTGACAATAACTATGCCAGCTTTCTAATAAAGTTTTCTAATGTCATGGAATCTTTGCTCAGTGGTGAAGCATGCGAATGATCCCATTTTCAATTATTTCTTTGTAAAGCTAAGAAAGGGTTAATCCAGCTCCCATCAATTCTAGCAATGCAGAATCTTCTAGGCTGAAGTCCAGCTGCCATAAATCCCAGCCAGTGTGTGTCTAATAGTGAAAGGTGATGGATGGAAAAACACCTGGAGAGCTTGGTAGATGATACTGAGCCGCATAGATTGATGCTAATCTACATCAAGTTGTCCTATAAAATTATAGGCTATATTGAATCTGATGGATTTAACCTTCCTCTTTCTTCAAAATTCAAGAACTATTCAAAGAAGGAGAATTTTCTCACCACAGCATAAGAAAAGAGGAAGATGGTGTCCAATGTTCCAAGAAATAATGTAGCTTCTTCAGCATTAGGAAATAGATGACTGCTGTTCCAAAGCTACGAAGAAAAGTCAGAATACTATAAAATGAGATGGCAAATATGTAGCTAATACAACATAGCCCCATAAATATTAAACAATGCCCCACTTAATGTCTTTAGTCCCTAGATTCCAGCCATGGTTATTTCTGAAGCCATGTAATCCAAATCATCACACTAAAGTCTAGGAGATGAAGTGTTAATTTTATCATCCCACTCAAGCTATTTAAGACACACAGAAACACACCAATCCTGACTCATCATATTCATAGTAATTTCTAGTAAAACAGAATTTAAAAAGACCCCTCTCTAGTTTCATTTCTCCAAAAATGAAAGATTTCTAGTTTTTGAAACAGAGAAGTTCCTTCGGTAAGAACTAGGTCTGTCTGGGTTTCTTTCTGTTATCTCAGCTGTATCCAAGTAAAGATCTTCATTAACTAATTTGCTAGACAGAACTTCACCGGAACTTGACCATTTCTCACGAATGAGTCAGGCTATCTCGCAAAGTGAAAAGAAGAAAGCCTGAAAACACCGAAACTGGGATATCTAATTTACAGTGCAGCATCATAGATGCTTCCTTTAATTCTCATAGGACCACCTCTTAATCAGTAATCAGGGACCACAGCAGCTTGCCCTGCTACTTCTTCTTAATGGAAAACGCCAGTGTTTACAGAGTAAAGCAGGGGTCTCCAACCTTGGCAACTTTAAGACTTGTGGACTTCAACTCCCAGAATTCCTCAGCCAGCTTTGCTGGCTGAGGAATTCTGGGAGTTGAAGTCCACAAGTCTTAAAGTGGCCAAGGTTGGACACCCCTGTCCTAAGCTTTAATTGAAATCCATTGCTTCTATCATTTTGCTGGGAACCCTATAATTTCTAGAATTGAGCTCCCGGAGGTTGCCCTCTCAGTTTATTTCTTTTGATTTCCTCTTTCTGGGTGAAATCAAACGATTTCAAAATCTTTAAAATTTGATTTTTTTCAAAATCAGAATCTGGGTGAGAGCAGTGAGCAGAAAAGCAAAGCTTGTTATTATTTTGGAATAATGTATCTCAGAGATTTCGTGGAGAGTCTCCCCAATCTGCTCTTCCTGATATAGATGTTGAAATATTGCACTAGCAGCAGCCTTCGCTCACTCTTGGCCATATCGCTTGATTAGATCAGTGCTTGGCAAAACACTTGTGCTGAATTCTTGGTTTCAGTAAGTTTGGGAACACGCAGTTCCCTTCAGTTTTGTAGGTTCATCTTATGAGAGGCTAAAGTCCTGTCAGTTCAGTGTTCTTGGCTGCCTTGCTAAATGTTCTATTCCAGTTCAGGGAGATTCAAACAAATCAACTTTTATTGATCCAAAATTGCTCCAGCAATTCAACTATGGACTAAACCAAATATAGCTAAGCCCAGAGCTCCTCTTGCCTTCCTCATCTTTCTCCCCTGGTTTTGAGAGGGAAGCATACTTAACCATCAGTGAAGCCAAAGTTAAAGAAACACTCTATCGCAGCAGAAGATTGCAGCACACATATCGTGCCAATGCATAAGCTTGAAAAGGGTTTCTTATAATCAGCTTTTCATCTCATCTTGAACTTTTTATCTGTGGCAAAAAGAATTATGACCTTTTTCTTTTCTTTGTTTCCATAGGTTCCCCAAATAACAAACCTATCAATGCAGTTATCATGGCAATTACAGGTAAAAGATCAACGTATTTTCAGGGACAGTAAAGGAGATCTGTTTTCATAATGTCATGGCTTGTTTCAATGTTTTGTTCCAGCCATAATCTGGCTTGTGGGTTTTTCCCACTTTTATTTGTAACCCAGCAGATTTATAACAGCATGCTCTATAACCAAATGGGTTATTCAATGCTAAAATCATGGTTTACTGCAATGTATGAAGCAATCATTTAAAGTCTAGTCTGTTACAAAACTCTACTGCCATCGACGTAGATTCTCAGTCATGCAGGTCCTGGTTGTTCCAAAGGTGCTTTTTCAAGATGGCTTCTCAAGTAAGAAGCTCCTTCAGCTCTGGTGGGGATTCCAGCCAGAGCTGAAGAAGCTTCTTGGATGAGAAGCCAAGCATCTTCAAAGAAAAACCAGAAAGTCCAATTGCCTCTTGAAAAAACACCCTTGGGTCTACTGCCATAGCATTTAGGGAATACTGTACATTTTGTTTTTCCTTCTTCCAGAAGTTCACAATCAGCACCTTTGGGAGAGGGAAGCAAACACATTTGTGGATATATAATTTCTATTTACTAGTGGGACACTAGACCAGTGGCCCCTAACCTTATGAGCACCAGCGACTGGTTCCACAGAGAGAGGTTCTTCCGCAGACCAGGACCGGTTCCACAGAGTGGGCGTGGTTTCGCATGCTGCCTGCATCCCGTGGATGGAGCTTCACTTATTTGCGTGGCCCAGTTGCTGGTATGCCACGGATCGATGCTGGTCCACAGACCGGAGGCTGGGAACCCCTGCATTAAACCATGCAAACTTAATGATGAGCAAATGGGCAATAGTCTATACCAGTGTTTCTCAACCATGGGAGCTTGAAGATGTGTAGATTTCAACTCCCAGGATTCCCCAGCCAATGGGGAGTGATTGATTGCAAACTAACGATTACTCTAAACTAAATCAGCACATTTTAATATTTCCACTGATGTCTGGATGCATGGCTGGTCTGACTTTTCGATAGTTTTCTTTGGTTAAGGGGCAAGATTGCTGGTTCAGATGAAGACCACCTTGCTTGGCATTGGAAACAGCCCCGCCTCCTCTGTTTTCTCATTCTTACCTGCATTTTCCTTTTGATGTTTCGTAGGGTTTTTTATTGGAGGCCCTTCCAACATGATCAGCTCTGCCATTTCTGCAGACCTGGGGCATCAGGACGCGATCAAAGGAAATAGCGAAGCTCTTGCAACCGTGACAGGGATTGTGGATGGCACCGGCAGTATTGGGGCCGCTGTGGGTCAGGTGAGACAGATCGGAAAAGCAATCAGGATCGTTATAGCAATGAAGGAACTCATATAGCTGGTCCTTGACTAATGACCATAATGAAACCTGCTCATTCTGATTGGAAGCGTCGATAGTCATAAGGCAATCATCACTCTACAGGCCCAATTTTACGATCTATTTTTGTAGCACTCATTAAGCAAATCAGTACGGTTAACAGGTGAAGCTGCCGTTGTTAAGCAAATGTGGCGATCATTAAATATACCCATTGGTTGCTATGGGCCATTTTTGTTGAAATGAAGTAAGTAAATGCCAGATTTGTTAAAACAGCTTGTGGCCACGTTGACCACAGGATGCTGCAAATGGCCATAAATTTGCTCAGCGCTCAAAATGCAGTCATGTGACCCTGGGGGGGGGAGATAGTCCAAATTTTGGAATTGGGTTGCAAGTGCCCTGGGGGGGTTGGTGTTTTGGAATCTCTTGTAACTTCAGTCACTAAGCAACTGGAGGAGAACGACTAATACCGAAGCGAAGGTTTCTTAAATTGAAATTTTAAGATCTGGCAGGCTTTTCTTTTCAGCAACATTTCACTAAAGGTTGTTTTAGTAGTAATATTCGTTACATTTCAGAAGGGATAAGAAAAAAGGGTGAACTCTCCTTAGAGAAAACATAACTTATTGGGGACTTTTTGTTTAGAAAAATATGCTTTCAGCGTATCTAGAGGACATTCAAACAGCTGCAGTCAAATTCCAATCCTGAGCTCCTGCTGACTTTTTCATACAAACAGCGTCTTTTGTGGTGCTGCTAACGTATGTGTTTGAAAGCCTGCTGTTTGGCAGATCTTCCCTATGGCAAATAGCATTTTTAAACGATTTTTTTTTAAAATCTTGCCTTTATTACTTTTATAAATAACCTCAATGTTGGTAAATAGCCAGTACTATTTCTTCCTCTCATTTTCCCCACAACAACAACCCTGAGGGGACCTGAGAGAGAGAGAGAGTGACTGGCTCAAAGTCACCCAATCAGTTTTTGTGCCTAAGGCAGGACTAGAAGTCACAGTTTCCTGGTTTCTAGTCTTGTGCCTTAAACCAGGGGTCTCCAACCTTGGCCACTTTAAGACCTGTGGATTTCAACTCCCAGAATTAATACAAACGAATTCTGGGAGTTGAAGTCCACAAGTCTTAAAGTGGCCAAGGTTGGAGACCCCTGCCTTAAACTGTCTCTCTTTTCTTTCCCTTTCACCTTTTCAGACTATTAAGGCATTATGTGGGGGTGTAATGGGGAGGATAACGCACAATGAGAGCCAACTTTGCATATCTAGCAATGTTGCTGTCTAGGAAGATGGAGATATAAATAATTTCACTTTCTACTGTATTTCTATGCTTATGCCTTTCCTTATTCATTTCCGTGTCACCTAGAAGAGAGCATCTTTCTTCCCTGTTTCTGCAGGGGGAAGGAAGAGCCCAGTGCATGATTTTCACTGGTTTGTGTAGTACTTGCAAAGTACTGGTTTGTGATTTGTGTAGTACTTACACCAGGTTTCACTGGTTTGTGTAGTACTTACACCAGGTTAGAAACCAGGAAACAGAGAGTTCTAGTCTCCTCTTAGGCATGAAAGCCAGTTGGTTGGTTTTTTTGACCACTCACTTTCTTTCAGCCCTACCTATCTCACAGGGTTGTTGTTGTTATAGGGAAAATAGGAGGAGGAAGGAGCGCTAGGTATGTTTGGCACCTTAAGTTATTTATAAAAAATAGTAAAGGCAGGATATAAATACATAAATAAATCTAGCAGAAATAGCAAAAGCAGAACTAAAAAAAACAGGATACAGAGAACAAAAGAACAATTGGTAGCTATTTTGGTAAAGTAGGAAAAAGGAAGACTAACTCTTTATGGAGAAAGGAGAGAGAGAGAGAGAGAGATGTAACTGGACAGGGAAGGATGCCATATTTAAATATTATAAATAGAATTAAAATCAACCAGCCTTTCTCAAAATTAAAGGTATAAATTTTTCAGCAGTAATGCCTTCAGCCAGTTCCAAATTCTGCTCCTTTCTTTTAACAGCATCTTAGCAAATGTAAGGTGACAATTCACAAGTCATATTTCTGTTACATAGATAGGACATGAAGGTACTTTTTTTAAAAAACAGCAACTTATGCTCTGTTGCATCAGTGGCCTGCTTCATGCAAAATATAAAGCCGTAATGGATGAGTTCACGCATGACATGAAACCAAGGACAAGCAAGTCCCAGTGTGATTTCGTGCTTTGTGAAGAAGATCAGAAGTGTGTAGAATTATATCCCAATGCAGTAGGCCCAACCAGGCTGCTGACCCCACTTTGGATGTCATTTCCTACAATGGCCAAGCAAGTCTGGGGAGAATGGGGTGGGCTGTAAAGAACTGGAAATGAATAAAAATGTAAACACATGAACAAAAACGTAAATACAAGAATAAAAGCTGTTCTTATTTATTTTTATTTATTGCCTTACTAGCTTAATACCCATGCTTTACTACAAAACTATATGATCGGGCTTAGTTTTTGGGGAGGAAAATAAGGGGGGGAAATTGGGCCTCTGCCTACCAGCATCCATCAGTATTCATCTGGCTAGCGTCCTGTCAGGGTCTGAGAGAGTTGAGGGCTGTTTGGAAACTGAAACAGTATTTGCTGTGTGAGCAAGGTGACAGCAAGGAGCCTGGATATGCTTAGCTCAACTGTTCTGTACTAAAGCTGCTTGCTGCTATGAAACTGAAACTGAAACGCCTCTCTTCTGCCTGTGTTTTGTATTTAGAACAGATTTCTTTTCAGGCAGGGTGGGGGAGTTGAACTCCTTAGCATCAGAGCATGTTAATAATAATATATGAAATACTAAAGCTCTGATGGTCTAGAAGCCAAGAGGAACACATGTGCCAAATTTCAAGTTTGTAGGCTTTTGTGTACCTTCCGAGAACCCACATGGGTTGACTGTAGGAACTATTTACCTGCTTTACTAGCCTGCTGCATTGCTCACTTGCAAAATGGCTCACAAGAACGGTTGTCTGAGTTCCTTTTCCCATTGGCTCCTTTTATGTGTAAACAACCATTTAATATTTACAAATCTCTTCTGTGGGCTTTTAGGCTAAAGCAAAATTCATTATGTTTGTCCCAAAGGTGCTTCTTCTGGAGGCAACTGGACTTTCTTGTTTGTTTTTCTTTGAAGATGTGTCACTTCTCATCCAAGAAGCTTCTTCAGCTCTGACAGGATAGTGGGGAATGGAAGGATTTATACTCCTTGCAGACAGCTGGTCATTTGCATCTTTTAAAAGGGTTGTTGAGGCCACTTGGAGATTTATCTGTGTCCTCAGGTTCACTCCTGGTTCCTGTAGTCTGCAGTTTTCCCCCCCCTCTGGAAATCCATTCCTACTCCCACACCATTTAAAGGGTGTTCATCCCAAATTGTATAGCTAAAGTTCTGTAGAGATCCTCAGTCATCCTCAGGATGACTGAGAATCTCTACAGACGTTCATTGTGTTTGTTTCTCTTGACCAGCGTCAGAGCTGCAAGCAGCATCCCTTCTGTTGTAGAGTTTTCGATAGGTCGCAGACGTGTTCACACAAGGAAATACAGGACAAACTTGGAAGAGATGTGAGTGCAATGTAGGAATGCACTTAATGATTTGGCAAAAGTGTTGGCTACTATAGAAAAGTGCTGGGGCTGGAAAGGGTATCTTTAAAACTTGGTTTTGGGGGAATGTTACAATAATGCTTTGGCCAGTCTGATTTGAGGGAGCATAAGCAGTGTGGAATTCCTCTCGGCTTTCTTCTGACTCTGGAGTGGTTTTGCTCGAAGAAATTACTAATCCTTTGCTGCATGACCTCAGGAAGCAACACAGTGCTTTTCAAAGCTGTAAGACCGGCCATTGTGTGAAGATAACAATGGCGTACCTTCTGTAAAATTCATTATTCCTAGCCATTGCCATTCTCCAATTTTTCGAACTTCCTTTATTCACGAGGGCTTTGTGTCTGACAAATTGTATCCTCTACTTCCTTCTCTACCTAAGATTGCTGTTATCTGTGACAGTACATCACCATAGCAACCAGCTGAGATTCCACAAACTGGGCTGTCTCCCCTAGTGGGAAGTCAGCATCAGAAATACGTTGAACTTGTCAGAAAAAGAAGAGCCTTAAAGAAGCCAGCATGTGAAACATAAACGCGCTAAGGTTTATTCCAGCGGTAGAAACAAGGGCACTTTGGACCAAATCTCTCCAGAACCATTTGAAGTGATTTATGGAAGAGGATAAAAAGCAGAAACATTATTTATTGATGCACAAAATGTCCCAAGTGAAAATGTAATTTCCATGCAAAAGTAAACATGACTATGTTTTAAGCTAGTTTGTCCACTATGAGCTGCCTAGCCTGTTTAACTTTCAGGGCCTATTAAGTTTCTCATTATTAACTCTTGGATTCCCATATATGTATATGTATATGTATAATATTTTAATATATGTATGGTATTCAGCTTTGTTCGGGTATTTTCCCATGTCATTATAGTTGTGCTTTTAAATATATATATTTAAAATATATATATATATATTGTGTATGTATAATAAATGAGTACGTGTGTGTGTGTGTGTGTGTGTGTATACATACACATACAGTATATATATATATATATATATATCTCCTTAAGATTCTCCTCTAGATTCGTACTCATTTATTATGCATATACTTATACCTATTTATACGTATATGTTTACATCTTATGTTCATACTTATATTTGTTTTCTCATACATGCTTGACAAACAAAACAAAATAAATAAATAAATTAAATAAATAAATATATATATATAATTTAGAGGCTGCCTGATTCCAGTCAGCAGTTATGTGAAGTGGTGGGAGTTTTTTCCCCCACTGTGATTTAATTTGTGCTATTTTTTTCCGTCTCTCTTTTTTTAATTAAAACAGGAATGTGGAGGAATGTGGAGATAGTATAGGAAGAGAGCAGCGCTTTGCCAGAGTGACGATGTCGCTCTCTCATTAGAGGAGGCGGCATTTGGAAGAGATTTCCAGTGTGAGATCATTGCTCTGATCTTGTGGAAGTCAAAGAAGGCAGTGTTGGACTTAGACCGAACAGTGTATTGGTTGTTTTTTTGCAAGGCCACCTTTGAAGGGCAGAAGCTGTCCCACAGGAGGGTTGCCACAATAAAAACCCAATGAAAACATAATGCAATAGAATAATAAACCTTATGAAATGTGCAGACCTCAGCAGCAGAACATTTATCCATCAGCATTTAAAATCGAAGCAGCATTGCAGCGCTGCAATTAAAGTTCGACTGCTTTTCGTTTAGAAATCTCATCAGCTCCTGGCTGGGGCATCTTAAGGACCATTTCCTCTCTTAGGCTTCCTTTTCAGTCTCTGTCCTGTTCTCTCTCCCTGCTAGGTTCAGATGTGAGGAGAAGAAATGTGGATTTCTTTAGCAACTTCTGCCTCTGGAGAATTTGTGTTTGTGTAGCTCTGCTGCTATATCCTTTCTTATGCTTAGATTTGCAAAAGGACTTTCAGGAGAAGGAGCACCTTCCCCTGCTTTGGGGATTATAAGACAGCATTTTCAAGCATGCTGTTTGATACTCTCGTAAAGATTTAGATTTGCGTGCCCATTTTCTCCTACCTGCTGTGCTTCAGATATGATGGAGCAGAGCTTGCGTTGTCCACCTCCGAAAAGAACTGTGTGTGAAGCGTGGCTTAATATTGAAAAAATTACTTAGACAAAGGGGAGGGCAAGGGAAAGGTGTATATAAGGAGCCTCTGTGTGTGTCTTTGTATAAGTTTGTATTTCCTTGTACGTGCAGTATGCATGTATAGGCATAGAAATATACCCGTATTTCCCTGAAAATAAGACCGGGTCTTATTTTCTTTTGGGACCCAAAATAAGCACTAGGACTTACTTGGGGGGTGGTAATCTTATTTTTTCCCCATGTACAGGAGGCCCACTTCTGCTTGCTCACGGAAGAGCAGTACCCTGCATGGCAGCTGGCCCACTGCTGCTTACATATGGCCGCAACAGAGCAGGAGGCCAAGCAACGTGCCAGTGCCGCAGCCATGAGACAAGGCAGAGGGTGGAGCTTCCTCATGCACCCAGCACCAGCTTGTCTCAGGGCCCCTGCAGCCAGGCCATCCATGCCCTGACACCTGCCTTGCCTCACAGCCATGGCATCAGCACACCACTCGGCCTCCTGTTCAGTTGTGGCTGTGAGCAAGCAGAAGAAGTGAGCCAGTGGCCATGTAGCTCCTGCTGCACATGGGTGCTGGTGCTGCCACTGTGAGGCAGGTGTCGGGGCATGGATGGCCTGGCTGCGGGGGCCCTGAGGTAAGCCGGTTTGGGGCACAAGAGACAGCTCCACTCCTCTGCCTTCCGGCTGTGGCACCATAAGCAACGAGACTGAATGGGCGGCTGGGCACCTGCACAGGCTCATAAGTCGGGCTTATTTGGGAGGGGTAGGGCATATATAAGGTGCATGTGTAAAAACATGCTAGGGCTTATTTTTGGGATAGGTCTTATTATTCAGGGAAACTGTGTGTGTGTGTATTAGAGATGAATATATATTTGTATGCATAAACAGTAATAGAAAAATAAAACTCGTATGCATTCCTTTTAGGATTTAAAATTCATTTACATTTCCTTTCCTTCTAGTACTTAGTATCTTTGATCCAGGAGAAGTTGGGATGGATGCAAGTTTTCTATTTCTTCATTCTGATGGTAAGAAGACATTTGTTTTTACAGTTTTAGATTATACCCTTTCCTACCAAGCAGCAAGAAAAAAAAAATCCAGATATGAAATTGTTAAGCAAGCAGATGAAAACTCCTGGGTTAGCATTATCTTAAATTGCAGTGCTAGAGTACAAGTCTATACATTATCCAGTTGAGATCAATGGGGGTTTCTTCTCAGTTAAAAAAAAAAGGATTGTGGCCCCAATGAGATAATGTCTTGATTGATGGCTCAATCTTTTCACTGTTGAATTGCTAATAGCTGGCTGGTATCCAGCCCCTTGGTCCCCCTTCTGATGCCATCTCTCGACCGGAAACAATTGCAGGTGAATATTTAAACATTTTGAATAAGGAGAACGAAACACATCGTTTCTTAGCTAAAATTCATCTAAAGAAGATGAAGGGCAATCAAACCTTATAGAAGTTTTCAGTGTAGTTTCAATGTATTTTAACTTTTTTAATCCTGGAAGGATTACATTTCTTCAATTTCACAGGAGATGGCATTATGTATGAATCATCTGATTGACAACTGTAACACATTGAATATAATTTCTTCATAGGTTGCATGACATTCAATATGAAATAGCTCTCATGTGAAATTGAGATTGTTAGGGGTCTGATCTGTATCATTGATAATGGGTGTAATTTTCAGTCTGTAATTGGTCTGCCGTCTCAACGGTCTGCATTTGAAGAATGTGCCTCATAGGGAAGCTGCAATCCTGAACTCGTTTAGAGTAAGTAGGTTAGGTAGAACTTTGAGTAAATGTATACGGGACTGTATAATAACATCTCTTAAGAGCTAAACATCCTTTCTTCATATGGATGCAAAGCATGGATTTCAACTATTAGAATTCTCTGCAGTAGCCGTGAGCTGATGGGGGCATTCTTTGAGCTGTAGTCCACATATTTGGATTGGAAAAGCTGGGCTCAATGTGAAGGGGGACTATCATGGAAGTTCACCCAGCAGAAATATGTACGGCTGTTCCTTTATGGGGAAAGGCCATCAATTAAACTAAGGGTGGGAAATTGAATGTAGACTAGAGTCGGAGGCAGTTTTCACTTGCGCTAGTCATTCAGCAAACACACATGTGGATTTTAATTGGAGAACCCTCTTTTTTCCTTATCTTAACTATTTCTTCCATGAGGGGCTATATAGTTTGACAAGTGCATGCCTTCTATCATCAGGGACAAGTTGCAGAAACTAGAGGGATCTTGGAGTCCTAGCGGACAACCGTTTAAATATAAGCCAGCAGTGTGCTGCAGCTGCCAAAAAAGCCAACGCAGTTCTAGGCTGCATAAATAGAGGGATAGAATCAAGATCACGTGAAATGTTAATCCCACTTTATAATGCCTTGGTCAGGCCACACTTGGAAAACTGCATCCAGTTTTGGTCGCCACAAGGTAAAAAAGGATGTTGAGATTCTAGAAAGAGTGCAGAGAAGAGCAACAAAGATGATTAGAGGACTGGAGGTTAAAACATATAAAGAAGGGTTGCTGGAATTGAATATGTCTAGTTTAATGAAAAGAAGGACTAGGGCTGACACAATACCAGTGTTCCGATATCTTAACGGGCTGCCACAAAGAAAAGGGAGTCAAGCTATTCTCCAAAGCACCTGAAGGCAGGATAAGAAGCAATGGATGGAAACTAATCAAGGAGAGAAGCAACCTAGAACTAAGAAGACATTTCTTGACATTTAGAACAATTAATCAGTGGAACAACTTGCCTCCAGGAGTTGTGAATGCTCCAACGTTGGAAGTTTTAAAGAAGAGATTGGACAACCTTTGTATGAAGTGGTGTAGGGTTTCCTATCTGAGCAGGCGGTTGGACTTAGAAGATTGCCTTAAGGCCCCTTCCAATTCGGTTGTTCTGTATTCTGTACTCAAGTATGCTTTGTCTTGCCAAATAGAGGACAGCATAGGATGGCTTCTAGCCACTTCATCTTCACTTCTTATATAGATCACCTATATAAGGCATGATCAAAGTAGATCTGATTTTGGCTCCTCTTCCAGTAGAAAATGCCTCAGATAGATGCTGCTTCCATCAAAATAAGCAATATTGGGCCATTTGGGCAAACAGACAGAACAGGCCCAAAGTCCTTCTAAGTGTACACGGGGCGGCAAATCTGGATCTGCCTCTGTTTAACGTTTGATACCCTCTAGAGCCGTGATGGCGAACCTATGGCACGCATGTGGGCATGTGAGCCGTTGCTCTGGTTTAGCTCCACTGCGCATGCGCGCACGCCTCCCACCAGCCAGCTGGTCGTCGGGTCTCTGCTGCGCATGCATGGGGGGTGGGGAATGCATGGGAGGGCACATGCACGGGAGCACATGTGCAGGGAGCCACACACACAGGGGTGGGGCACATGCACAGGGGCGTGGCACACATTGCATTTTGCAGGTTCGGGCACACACATGCACATTCACGTGCTTTGGGCAGTCCATTCGGAAAAGGTTAGCCATCACTGCTCTAGAGCTAATGCCATAATTGCAGGGGTGGGATTCTACCAGTTCACACTTATTCGCTAGAACCGGTTGTTAACATTCTAAGCAGTTCAGAGAACCGGTTGTTAGAAGAAATTACTGGCCTAATCCTGTAAGGAAGGCAGGAAGGAAACATTCTGGTATTGCTTACAAAAACTGCCTCTCCGTTAACCCTTATTACATTCTTGGCAGGACTAGACTTCCTGTCTCAGGAACGTCTCTGGAGTTTTTTTTCCCTCCTTTGCTGGTACTTTGCTTGTGTGGAGTGACCATTCAAAGTTACAATGGCACTGAAAAAAGTGACTTATGACCATTTTTCACACTTACAACTATTGCAGCATCCCCACAGTCATGAGAGGCCAGGGGAGGAGATACGTGCCTCGATGTGAGTGATATTGAGTTGGCCATACCCAGCCAATAACATGACCACCAAGCCATGTCCACCCAGTCACATGACTATCAAGCCATGCCCACCACCTAAGCCACGCCCACAGAACCAGTTGTTAAAAAAATTGAATCCCACCCCTGCTTCAAAGCTATTCATATCTTTCTTTTTGCAGACCAGTTTAACAGTGGTCTTCATCATGCCGTTGATCGTGAAAGAAACCAATATGCTCCTTACGCAGAGGCGCTCGCGCAGGTTGGCTGGCTGACCCTCTTCTCTTTTCTGTTGAGTGGACTTTTGTTTTTCCAAGAGGGAACTTGGCACTTCAGGCCTTTTGCATTCATTTCTTGATTTACATCCACAAAGATCGGATTTGCTGAGAAATGGCCACCAACACGTTCATCGCTGAAAGATTGTCATCTGAATCCCATCTGAAGATAATGCTATGGAAACCCACAACTGGGAAAGAGCTGGCTGTATGCTTGGAAGGCTTAGTTGAGTGTAACCGTGAGAGACGTTACGTCTTTTGATTTTTATCCCTTGTTCCCAAGGCTTGTTTGTGCGATTATCAAGATCAAATGATAAAAACATTGGGTTTGTGTGTGGGAGAAAGGTTTCTTGAAAGCAGAAAGTGATTGTGCCTAGAAAAAGCGTTTGTATAGTAAACCCTTGATTTAATGGATTAGGGACCCGGGCAGGGGAAAGGGGTATCTATTAAAGCTGAATGAGATGGTTCAAGGCCAAAATGTACCCATACATGAAATTACTTTAATAATCATAAGTGTTCGGTGTCGCCTTTACCTATGAAGCCATAGGTAAATGGTATACCTAAAAGTACAAACATTTCTACCCTTTCTTACAAGACATAGTCACCAAATCTTGTAAAAGAGCTTGAGACAGGCACTAACTGACCAGGGAATTATTTATGAACTATTTTTTAAAAAACAAATTATGCATGTGCAGCAGCAGAAAACATTGCCTCACCTGATTTGATCCATTGTTTGGGATGAATTCTGATACTGCCTGAAATTCAGACAAAAATCCAGATCCAACCTATTTTGTCTACTGCATTCAAGATCCATTAAACAGAGGACTTACTATACTTGCTTTCTTCCTATTGTGCTCATTTATTGGTGGCAATCTTCCAGACGTTTTTAAACTTGAGGTTCCTTTGTGTCTCCCCATTGGCTCTGCTGGCTAGGGCTGATGGGAATTGGAGTTCAGCGGCAAGAGGACAGCCACTTTACCTGCCCTGATGCCAATATAATAATGTTATTATGTAATGTTATTCACAAAGATAATGTTATTCACAAAGGGAGAAATCCTTCGGATACCTTGTCTTCCCCCACTTGCAAACCAGAGTGGAATCATCAAGCAAAAAGCTTCTCCAGCTGATGGCTGGTGCCTTTACACAAACCGTCCCTTGTATATTTCTTTGTACTGTAATAAGTTTGGATCTTTGTGTTGTAATCCAGGCACCAAAAAAAAAAAAAAAGCTGCCAAATGGAGGAAATGGACGGCGCTCTTTGCATTTTACTTTGGTGAAGAGGAAAGGCATTTCCAACTATTTAGTATCAAAAGAGCGTTTCAGAGCAACCTGGGCCAATCCGCTGCTGGTTTTTGCAAGCTTTTTGGTAGCTCCCTAACTGCGTATTTTTTTTTTAATTAAAAAAAATATACAACAGGGTACTACTATTAAAGCAGCTCTGAAATCCTTGGTGTCCTTATGTAAAAAGAACATTTGTTAGGGTGTTTGTTTGATCTCCAAATATTTGTCCTATCCAGATGTTCATGTTAATTTAACCTTCTCTCTCTCTCTCTCTCTAGCAGAGCAACTGCATTCCGTACTTGATTTTTATCTTCTCTTAACTGTCTAATATGTGAAAACAAGCGAAGTCTCTGGAGGTGCACAGAGCCAACTATTTTATATGGAGGGGTAGTAATCACAGTTTTATTAGGATCCTTATATTTTTGTTAATATTTTTTTTTAAATAGGTTTGAGAAAATGATAAGGGAAATAAAAGGGAATAATTATCATCGTTTGAGATTGTTTACTACGTCTCCTTTACTGGAGATCACTGTCGCCTACAGATAAGCAGATTTCTTTTTAAGGATTCCACCAAAGCTGATCTTTTCTTCCTTAAGACCCTATAACAATACCAGCGGCCCCCAACCTTTGGATCGCTAGGGACCGGTTCCATGGAGAGAGGTTTTTCCGTGTACCGGAGGAGGCGTGGTTTCATGTGCTGCCAGCATCCTGCAAATAGGGCTTTGCTTGTTTGTGCAGCCTGCTTTCTGGCATGCCACAGCCAGTCCACCGGGGGTTGTGGGCCCCTGAACTATACAATCAATCTATCCAAGATGCCATTTTTACAGATTTCGGAAATTTCCAAACAGGAATATATTAACAAGTGCTGTGCTCAGTGGCATTTATGATACCCCAAAATTAAATGCAAAACGTTTGATTTTAAATAGCCCAAATCTTGAGAAATCATCAAATCGTGTAAGATCTTGGTCTTTTTTGGGGTCAAAAGATGTAAGATTCTGGGCATTTTAAAAACATTATTTTTAGCACCTCTGACGCAGCACTTGTTCTTGGGATACCTCCAGCTTAAAAAAAACTTGCTAACTCTATTACTTGTGCAAACTGATGTGCATCAAGCAGTCAGATTCCAATTTTTATTTTTTTATGTGGAATAACTGGTGTTATCCCGTGTTTATGTATTCCTCAATCGCGTACCTGCAGGCCTTATTCATTATGCCCCCACTTGAATGTTTAATAAACAGGGCATGCTCTGGCTTCCTACAGAAGGGATGGATTTTTTCAGCATTATTTCAGATCTAGCTGGTGACTCTAGTTCAAAACGGGGTGGGTGGGGGGGGAATGGACATGTAATCTTCAGCACAGGCTGACAGACCACAGTAACTGGGTTCAAACAGCACACTTATCCAGTTTCAAACATGTCTGCGAATGATGAAAGTATCCCAGTGTTAACCTTTTTCTGAAAGTGCACCGTGCCATTGCATGCATGCAGCTGAAACTTCATTTTTCTGAGTCAATGTGTTGTGCAAACATAGCCCTTTTAGTTAGTTCACGGTTCAGTATATTGTGGGAACTCAGAAAACCAGTTAATTTAAAAATGAAGTAGTTTTTTAAATGCAAATCCCGCCTTCAAGAACTGAAAATTAGATTAATGCTACAAAATGAGTTTCTTTAGGGTGTTGGGATCCTCAACTCAATTTTCAAAACTGCTTTTTACCTGCTGACTTAAATGTCATCTTGACCTTACATTTCTAATGTTGGTTGTTATTGAGATTGAGATAAAAAAAGAACACTAAGCAAATTGTGAATTTGAGGGGAAGAAATTATTTGTTTTAAATATTTTGTATGTGCTTAATGGTTAGTTTCTTTTAAAAATGTATATGTTCATGTAGATTTTAAAAATCGTGTTGTGGCTGCTGTAAGTGAAATTTTTTGATAAGTTAAGAGCCTCTTAATTGTGTTGGTTTACTGTTTTGTGTGTTCTTTTCCTGCCATGCTGCTCCATTCCACTGTTCACAATACACAATAGCCTAATTTATGAGCATTTTAAAAAAAGAACATTTCCCAACATCTTTACTTTTAAATTAGAAATCTACTCCAAGAGTAGGAAAAAAAGTACAGTAAAAGCAAATTTTACTTTCTCTCTTTTTTCTTTCTTGCTCTCCTTTTCCACGTGATTTGTGGCATCAACTCTTTCATGGTTTACTTTGAAAAGAGATGCTCTCAACTGTTGACTTTTGTTTTTAATCATGAAAGTACTTTCTTTGAAAATATGCTTAAATGATTTGAATTAAGCACGAAATCATGTGTGTTGAATTCTGCCCTAGTTAAAGAAGCTTTTCCAGATTTGAGGACATAATCACTTTTCTCACTTCTGATTAGCTTGATGGGAGGCAGCCAGAAAGACCACCCTTCCTGCATATTTTCACCATGAGAGAATAACAGGAAACTTTATAATCACATCCTTGAATCAAAATGTGAGAGCTCAGTCTATGGATTTCTTGGCTGGCTGAAGGTGAAGACGAGCCAACACTCTGAAGAAGCAATCACCCGATTTGGCACCTTTGAACTGTTAGACTGTGTCTCCCATTGTCTCCAGCCAGCATAGCTGAAACTGCAGTTCAATACATACAGTATGGAAGGTTCCAGGTTTGCCAAAGTCTGTTCCAGGGTATGGTAGAATTGGTTTTAATGCAGATTGTCTTCGTTTGAAATACTGTTATGTGCGAGGAATGGCAACTCACGTATGTTCAAACCATGTCTACTGCATTGGGAATGCTTGTTTGCCTTTTGCCTGGGTAGCTGTTAACTTAAATAGAAATTGTTCATCTTAGCAAACACAATAAAAACATATACAGAATTTTCTTTGCAAAGAGCCAATTTTGCTGCTCAGAGTCATGTATTTGAGATGGGCAGCCATGTGAATGAATGAACGAATGAATGAATGAACAAATGAATGAAAATTAAATGCTGTCAATAACAAATTCTTCATGGGGTGCTATGAAACGTTCTGTTCTTGGTAATAGTTTCTCTTTCTATCTTATATATTTCCACTTAAATTCTCTGAAAGTATGTAGGGGAAAAAGACATGCTGTCAACTGTCCAATTGAGTTTGATTTTATTAAATTATTTTTGGCAACAGAAAGATTCTGTACATGCTTTTTATTTTGGACGTATAATGAATGTTGCTTTCCCTCATCTCGGGAGTTGTGTTAAGTTGACCATAAAGCAAAGTATTTTTTAAAAGTTGTAAAAGGAACACTTTCCATAAATAGATATTTTTCTACAGAGGGTGGTTGAGAGATTGGGATCATTCTCTATAATAGTTTATGCTCAGTACCCCTAAATATTGAAGGAGCATATATACAGTAGAATGTATTAAAAGAGGGGCATCTGAGGAGATGATCAAGAACTAAAAATTAAATCCTGTGGAGAGACATGAAAGGATATATATAAAATCTTGGGAAAAGATGACCAACAGGGACATGATAGCACTCCTTAGGTCTCAGAGAATCCAAAGGAGCTTATTTTCTCTCTCTAGAATGCAGGATATAGAATGATGGATTTAAGTTACAGGAAGTCAAACACTAGCGGAAAGCCAGAATCTATCTGTGGGATGTTTTTATTAAACTTTTTTTTTTTTAACTGAGCAAGGATTTGGATTCAACTGTCCCTTTTAGCTTTATGATTATAAGATGGCAATGTCCAGGACCCCAGAGAGTAAACAGTTTTTCAACATTCCTACTTTTTCTTTTATTGCTGTAGCAATCCAAGAGGAGGAGGAAGAGGAGGAGGAATGATGATTTCTATTTACAGTGTAGCTTATCTAATCTTGCATTTAAGGAACCTTTCATCTACAGAACTGGCAAATGTAATTCCCCATCTGTTGTTCTGACAATATACGGGCAGCCCGTGAAATATAACATCAAGAGGCTTAATCTTCTCACCTCCCCCGGCCCGGCCAGCCAGCTCTGGTGGAACTCCTTTCTGTTGCTGGTTCACCTGGGAGGAGTTGATCTAATTGGTGGGTCTTTAAGAACATCAGATGTTCTTTTTCACAGCAACTATATTTTACATCTTCTTTGTAAGAGCTCAATCCAGATGAGTTCAGAACTGGAACAAAGAATAATAAGCATAATGTTCACTAATTTTCAGTCATCTACAAAGGGTGATCTTGGACAATCATTATTCTTCATACTACCTTCACAGAATTATTGTAAAGGATGAAAAAGGATGTAAGGATGGGGAAGCCTTTTTAGTTCCAAACACTATCAGACAGGGGTCTCCAACCTTGGCAACTTTAAGACTTGTGGACTTCAAATCCCAGAATTCCTCCTCCAGTTATGTTAGCTCAGGAATTCTGGGAGCTGAAGTCCACAAGTCTTAAAACTTGCCAAGTTTGAAGACCCTTGTCCTAGAAAGACGCTTGCAGGTTATTAGGTTTAATCCAGTGATTTAAAGCAAAGTCACTTAGAACAGGAACCTTTTGGGTTGGTCTCTCTCCCCCCACAATCACCAAAGGTTTCTTTATACTACTGCTTTGGCAATAGGAAGGCAGGCTCTGGACCATAGGAAAAGAAAGCAGAGATCTACCATTCAGTGCTCTTGAGACCAGAGGTGGCATTCAGCAGGTTCTGACTGGTTCTGGAGAACCGGTAGTGGAAATTTTGAGCAGTTCGGAGAACCGGCAAAAACCACCTCTGACTGGCTCCGTCCCCATCTATTCTCTGCCTCCTGAGTCCCAGCTGATTGGCTGGGTCTTCTTTTGTTGTCCTGCACAGCAGAACAGAGTTGTAAAGCAGGTTAGTGGGGTAGGGACGGAATGGGGATTTTGCAGTAACCTTCCATGAGGAGTGTGGTGGGAATGGAGATTTTACAGTATCCTTTCCCTGCCACGCCCACTAAGTCATGCCCACAGAACCGGTAGTAAAAAATGTTGAATCCCACCACTGTTTGAGACAAAGGATTGCATGCAACTTTGGACCCTTGGTCTTAGAAGAAACAAGGGAGAGTAAGAGATAAAATTAAATAATCTGGTGGAGTGGAGTAACTTTTACAGAGCCTGTTATGTTTTCTTCTGTTCTAAGCTTTTCCTCAACATACTTTATTTAACTTGGATCCTTCTCGGGGGCCAACAAGGAATTACATTGTTTCTGATCAGTAGATAAAATACCTTCATGTTATAAATCCATCAACATTTATTAGAAAACACTTGACTGTTAGGAAAACCTGGCATAGAATTGGACCAGAGAATAATGTAACTAGGAGTCTTCTCACAAGAGCAAATTCTTAGCCGGAGTTTACTTTTGTCCATCACCTAGATATTTTGAATGACAAGACATACTACACTGCAAATTGAAGAAGCACTCATTTGACCTTGGCATAGATGAAAATATGTATCTCAAACTGTTAAGGGTAATAAAAGATCCTTTTTCTTTCCATTACCAGCTTAGACCATCTGTGTTAGAGGAAAAGAAAAGTGGAGAAATATATACTTCGTGATGGAACAATTGAGTTTGCACATTATAAGCCATGCTTTGCTTGATCATTTGTTTGTTGAATAAACCACAATTGGCTAGATTTATACCACACATTAAGCTGAAACCCAGCAAACCACATTGTGGCTTATCATACAGAATCTTTTGGTCATATCTATACTTTATCTCTGCACTGATTTTATGTCTGGAGACCTACAAAATAATCCAGAGCAAAATCTGAACAAGATGTAATTTCCAGAATTCTTTGTGTATTTGTATTTCTTAGTCCTTAATTTATTAACACTAGTTTCAAACTGCATTTCTACAAAACACTTGTGGAGATTTTTAGTTAAAAAAACAACAAGCAATGTAATCAACCATCCAAAGATTTTGGGACAATTCCCAGAATTCCTACTAGCAAATTTATTGATTTGGACTTTTAGTTCTAATCCTGTGAAGAATATCAAATTGGTGATGACTGGCTTTAACTTTCAAATACCAAATGTGGGAAGTGAGAAGAAAATACATTCAGATATTCTTTGATACTTTTTACGTAATGAGTACTTTGAAAAATTAACACGGTGGTTTGTGGATAGGAAGAATGGCCATTATTCCAAAATGGTCAATAAATTTAACTGGAGTGGAGTTACCAAACAGAAAGTTGTTGAATCCAGTATCATTTTAAAGAGCAATAGCTTCTATCTCAATTGTGTCTTTCTTCTTTCTGCCAAAATGTGGAAGTTATTACTTCATTCCAGTCTCTCCACCTTTTGAGTTTCAACATACTATAAAGCCTCTGCAATTAGCTGTAGTTAGATAATTAAGCTTTGCAGTAAGCTTCTAGAGCAGGGATCCCCAACCTTTTCGACGCCGCGGCCCGGTTCCGGCGTCAGCTGGGCGCCGCGGCCCGGTTCCGGCGTCAGCTGGGCGCCGCCATCTTTTTTTGACGAAAAATCACTTCCGGTGATGTCACCGGAAGTGATTTTTCGTCAAAAAAAATGGCGGCACCAGCGCTTCTGGTGAGCTTTTTCGGGTAGAAATGGCTTTCTACCCGGAAAAGCTCACCCGAAGCGCTGGCGCCGCCATCTTTTTTGACGAAAAATTGCTTTTTTTACCAAAAAAAGATGGCGGCGCCCAGCAACCAGCGGCCCGGTAAGGCTTGTTCCGCGGCCCGGTACCGGTCCGCGGACCGGCGGTTGGGGACCCCTGTTCTAGAGTATGACTTATACATTAGAGTTGAATAGATGCCTGTAATGCATAGCGGAAAGTCCCTTTGCAAATGGAAAGTATGTAAAGGTGGGCTTACATATTTTGGAATTAGCCTCGGTCTCCTCCCTTCATACATTCATAGGTTCTTTGGGTTCTGCTTTTTGAATATGACAACAAACAGGAGACAAGATGAAATTTGCTATAGTTTGCAAAAATCAATGCTGAGTAGTGTTTGCTAACATACATAGTTAGCTTTACACAGAGTCTGATCACTCTAAGGCAGTATTTCTCAACCTTGGCAACTTTAAGATGTTTGGATTCTCTTAGAATTCTCCAGCTAGCATGGGAATTGAAGTCCACACGTCTTAAAGTTGTCAAAATTGGGGAACACTGCTGTAATGGCTCATCCGGACAGCTGGCTTAACATGCTTTCCTCCAGTGAAAGGAAAATATGCTACCATACTGTACATTGCTGTGCCCTGACAGATGGCCTCTATTCGGCATCAAGTTGCCCAAGTAATAGATTAATTCTAAACCTGTATGTGGCATTTTTTTGGGAATGCAGTGAACACATGTCAACCTATCTTCAGGGCTGTCTTAACAGCATTATGGGCCCCAGGCAAAGCAGTGTACTGGGGCCCCCACGACAACTACTCACAGGAATAAAAATGCAAATGGTCAACAAAATTGAACATATATTTGCATAATATATGTATAATATATTTATATGATACAAGGTGCATTGAAGAGTTAACCTACACAGATTAGTATGGGGCCCCTATGCTCACGGGGCCCACGGGCAAGTGACCATCAGGCCCATGCGTTAAGACAGCCCTGCCTATCTCCCAGCATGCCAGTTTGATAGCTTGGTGAAGCAGAGGTTGCGCGCAGGATGAAATGGTAAATACCATCTGGACTCTCTCCTGCTTCAACCTGTAGGATGCCATTTTTGACAGATTATCAAGTATTGCAGGCCACATTGTTATAAAGACCAATATCCATCATTGCTCACACTGCAGAAAACAAAAGTGATCAGCAATGAGTGAATCTTTGTTGACCTTGCTCGGAATCTTCATACAAATCTTGCCATTCTGTTCTCTTTCAACTCTATGGTAAGGTAGCCAGATGTTGGTTACCATAGAGATTGAAGGGGGAGAGACCATTGGAGAGAGGCAAGTAGGGGGGAAAACTACAGAGGCCCTCCCCCCCTCCAAGAAATAGAAGTAGCCAGATATAGCAATAACAATAGCACTCAGACTTATACGGTATACCCCTTTACAGCCCCCTCTAAGTGGTTTACAGAATCAGCATCTTACTCCCAACAATCTAGCTCCTCATTTTACCCACCTTGGAAGAATGGAAGGCTGAGTCAACCTTGAGTCTGGTGAAATTTGAACTGTCAAATTGCAATCAGCAGTCAGCAGAAATAGTCTGCAGTACTGCACTCTAACCACT